GGGGAGAGGTTACGCATGCGCCACAGGGAGCTGTTGGCTTTCTCTTCCCATGCCCTTCCTCTGGGGCGGTGTCCGCCGGGGTATGCTTCCGGGTCAGGGATTAGCTTCCGGAGAGCGGGAAGGCTAAAACGAGGTGGCTCACCTGGAACCGGGCTTGCAAGGTTCTGGTTGGGAAAAGCCGTCGCCATGGACAGGTCAGTTCTGATGGTGACGACGGAGACCAGTCCCCTCCTGCTTAATGGCGGAACGAAAGAGGCGAAACCCGATAGGGCCTTTCCCTGGCTGGGAGGCTGCCCCTGAAGGAGGGCTGAGGGTTCGGACTACGGATGGTCATCTGCCGCTTGGTTCTTTCAGCCGCTCTGCGACTGCAGCGCTGGCAAACCACATTTTCTGCTTTGGGGAAATAGGCTAAATAGTGGTCGCGGGTTGGGGGCGCAGAATAGCTGCAAAGCAGTCAGTGACAGAACAGAGATCTCAGCCTAGACTTTGATTGCAGGCCCCAGCACTTACAGTATTGAGGTGTGTGTGTGTGTGTGTGTGTGTGTGTGTGTGTGTGTGCGCGCGCGCGCCGAAAGGAGTCAAAGTCCTTCTCCTCGGGGAATTCTTTTTAATGGGAGGACACTACGAAACAGTATTAATTCATCAAAGTCCTTCTCGGGGAACTCTTTTTAATGGGAGGACACCACGAAACAGGATTAATTCATAGCGACCCTATAGGACAACGTAGAACTTCCTCTATGGGTTTCCGAGATTGTAGCCCTTTTAGGGTAGAAGAAAGCTTCGTCCTCCTGCGGAGCGGCTGGTGATTTCGAACTGCCGACCCTGTGGTTAATAGCCCAGAGTGTAACCCACTTCTACCGTGGCCTTGATGGCAGTGAGAACCAGACTGAAGAGTAAAAAGTGACCAATGTTTTAGAAAGCCCACTCGTTGAGGTAAATGAGGGGCCCTGCCTTGGAGGCTTTCAGGATCATTTCTCAAAACAGGTCACTTTCAAACTTTGAATAATGATAAATGTTAGGTATGGATTTGGTTCCACCTCATCGGAAGCCTGTGTTTTAGGAAAGGAAACACTGCCCAGCGCCTGCGCCGTCCTCACACCCACAGTATATTGGAAGGCACTGCATATTGCAGCCACTGTGCCAGTTGATCTCCTTGAGGGCCCTGCTGCTTTTTTGCTGACCCTTCCACTTGACCAAGCATGTGGTGGTCCTCCAGGGATGGGTCCCTCCTGATAAAATGTCCACAGTATGCTTCTAAAGGAGCATGCTGGCCTTAGTTCTTCCAAGACTACTTTGTTTATTCTCCTGGTCAAAGTGTGGAAGCTAATAAATAGAAGAACTGAGTTTTAAATATGGATTTGTGTCTCTATGACTGGAGTTCTTAACCTTCATGCTGCTTGCAGGTAGGTAGGTGTTCACAAGGGCCCTTTTTTTAAAAGGAGCAATGTACAAAGGTGTGAGTATGAAAGTACTTGCTCGGTGTGCCTGAATGGTCGTGTGTAGTGTATGTTTGAAGGTGGTAATATTTGTTGCTTAGACTGAACTGGAGTCAGGTTGAAAATACCATGATAAGGAATTTGGACTCTATTCTATAAGCCAGAGACAGTCTTTAGGTTTTAAATAGAGGGAAGGCATATTCTATTGTGTCTTGAAACTGGTTTCATACTCTACACAATTTTGGTTCTAGACCTTCAGGTGAGAATGACAGGAGCCATCTGGAGAGTGCACATGGAGAGAGGAGATGCTCTTGTTCTATTGGGAGACATT